AAAAAAAAAAAAAAAAAAGCCATGGTCGTCCAGGTTTTTCCGATCTGTGTTGGCTCCTCAGAGAAGCCGAAGCTGACAGGGGACCCTGGGTCAATCGTTTCACTTCTGAGCCTTCGTTTCCTTAAGTAAATTAAGGGGGCCAGAGCTCTATCTGCACCCACCTCACGGGGTATTTGAAGCATCAAAGAAGAGAAAGCGTTTTTGCTCAACAGTCCTTTGCCTGCGAGGCATCCTTTCTGCCCCCAGCCCCTTAGCCTTCCTTCTTGCAGGGCCTGCTCTAAATTGGCCAGGTCTGAGCTTTTCCAGATGCCGTGGGGAGGGGTGTGTGTATGTTAAAGTCTTCATAAATACTTGTAGGAATGATTTTGTTTGTTTGTTTGGAGAGGGCAGGAACTGGAGGAAGTATTGCCCAGACTTCCTTGAGATCCACTCACACTGGGAAAGTCTGAATGAGTGCTACATATATACACACTCACACATGGCCACGCCTACACACACACTGGTGCACACATGTACTCACACACACATGGCCACACTTACACACACACACGTGTACACATGCACTCACACACTCGCACACGGTAACGCCTACACACAGACACACTCATGTATACAAGTGTACTCACACACACACTCAGAGTCATGCCTATACACACTTGTGTACACACATGAACACACACACACACACACACACACACACAGGGCAAGGACACTATTCTCACGAGAGCATTTACCTTCTCCTTTGCAGGCATGTTAGTCTGATTCCTTCTACCTCATTTTCCTTCAAGGAAACTTTCAGCTACTTGACCACATCCTGTGAATATATAGTAGAGGAGCAGATTTTATTTTATTACACTGAGCATATTTTCAGATTCTTAGCCCCAGGCACCCAACTGTACACACACAGACACACACACATCACTCCAGCCTCTCCATCATTCATAAACACATTAGGTGCAATTTACTGCTGTTATTCTTGGGAACAGCTTTCTGTGCAGATGCTGTTGTCATCGCCCTCTGGTGGCCGGAGAGAGTCTCTGCTCTCGTCCTCAGGGTGACTTCAGCATTTAAGAACTCTAAACATCCTTCCCCTCTTTCCTCTGAAGCTTTCTCCCAAACCTTGAACCAATTTAGTACCAGCACTGAGGCAGATGAGAGAACCGGGCAAGGGCCCAAGGGCACAAAAGCGTCTCAGACTGTCTGGAGCAGAAAAGAGTAGGGTTTTCTTTGTTTTCCCCAAAGCACGCTAGAGCGTGTTTTGCAGGCCCTTCAGGCTGGGCCTGGGTCTGTGCTCTGAGCACAGTAGGGGGCTGTGTTTTCCACTGAAGCTGCTGGGGGATTTCATTAGCCTGACTAGATGTTTAAGTGACTTCATAGACAGTTAAGTCTGCTTTTCCCTTAGGGAATCACCTTAGAACAGAGCCTGAGGAGTCCATCAGAGGAAATCATCCCTGAGGAAGGGGCAAGTGAAAGAGACGGTAGGAGTACCGAGACCGGTCTGCGCAGAATCATGGGGTGTTTGGCCTGGAATAACTTTAGAAATCACCTAATCCAGCATTTCTACCAGTGTTTTCTGAGAACTACTAGTTCCACATATTTTTTCATTAGGAAAAAGAAAAAGTTTCCTTGTAAAAATACAGAAATACTGCATACTTTCCCTTCTTGGAAACGCTGGCGGCATAGTGGTTAAGAGCTACGGCTGCAACCAAAAGGTCACCAGTTTGAATCCACCAGGCGCTCCTTGGAAACCCTATGGGGCAGTTCTACTCTGTCCTATAGGGTCACTTTGAGTCAGAATTGACTCGATGGCAATGGGTTTGGTTCATGCTTCTTGGAGATATGTATCGTAGGTGAAGGTAGTAAAACTCTGAGAACACCCACAATAAGAAAACCTGTTTAAGATTCGTTTAACCCAGTTTCTCAGTATACTTGTCCCCCTTTCATGTAAACTTAAGATTCACTTGGAACATAGTTTGAGAATCCCCAATATAATTCAACCCTTGTATTTTACAGCCAAGGAAACCAAGTCTCAGAGAGGGTTGGGCACTTGATCAAAGTCACTGAGCTAATTAGTAAGTGTGATGGTTAAATTTATATGTCAACTTGGCTAGGCTATGGTTCCCAGTGGTTTGGTCAAACACTAGTCTAGTTGCTGTTCCATATGTAATATAATATGATGTAACACAGTGTAATGTAATCACTTTCCATGATGCGATCTAATATAATATAATCAACCAACCAGCTGAAAAGGGAGTTTCCTCAAGGTGTGTTCTGTCTCCAGACTATAAATAGATATTTTGGTAGAACTCTCTCTCTCCACTCTGCACTGTTGCCTTTGCCTGACCTACAGATCTTGGGACGCAAGCCTGCAGAAGTCTCCAGCCTGCCGCCTGACCTATGGATTTTGGATTTGGCAGCCCCTGCAATTATGTGAGCCAATCCCTTGAAATAAATGTCTCTCTTGCTGGCTGTCTTTCTCTCTCTCTCTCTCTGTATGTGTATATATATATATATATATATATGTACATATGTATGTATATGCTTATATACATATATGTTTCTTAAAGAACACTGACGAAAGACAGTGAGAGAGCCAGAACCAGGACCCAGGACTCCCAGTGCCTAGAGTGGGGCTCCATCCACTCCCCACACAGATTCTCGGGCATCTACAGAATGTGTCAGCCTATGCTGGAAGGACTGCCCTCCCCCGGAGAAGTCTGAGTTAGACCTTAGGAGATCAGTCTACTGGGTAGGACTTTTTATATCCAGGTGCCAGAGATGGGCTTAGACTCTGTGATGTAATTTTCATAATTCCACAAAAGCCTCCTTGGCCAAATTTTGGATATTTTACTTTACTTTTCCATTGGATTCTCAAAAACAATCCACCCACACCTACTCCTCTCTTCCAAGAAAACTCTCCTTAAACTTTCTCCTCCACCTGTTGTCTGTCTCTCAGTGAAAGGCACCACCATTCACACAACTACCTCAATCAGTAGAGGGTCTTTCGTTGCAAATAACAGAATACAACTGTGGCTAATTAAAGCCAAAATAATGGCTTTTCTAGAAGGCCTTGGATAGCTTACAGAATTTAAGGAAAAACTGAGGAAGGAGGCTTCAAAGAACACAGGAATCAAGGCAGGATTTACGTACCAGGCCCTAGATTTCCAAATTCTCAGGAGAGAGGGACTGATTGATCTGGCTTAGGTCACATGGTTTCCCCCTTGGCCAGAGAAGAAAGAAGCTATGGCTGACAGTTCCACAGAAACCACACTCAGTTGGGCAGGTTGGAGATGCTCTCTCAAACGAAAACAGGGGAGCTGTTAGCTGAAAAGTGGTTGAAGAGGATGAGAAAGCAGAACAGCACCCAGTGCCAGGTACTAAATAGCATTTGAGCATCTTACCTCTGACTCGCACCAGGCCGTTCAGTGACCAAGTCCTGTCAGTGCTTCCCCATGAGTATCTCTTGACTCTGTCCCCTTCATGTTTGGTGCTCTGCCACGCACTGTTCAGATCCTAGTCATTGTTCACAATGACCTCCCAAATCATTTTTCTACCTTTATTTTTTTGTTCCACCAATCCGCCCTTTGCTCTAATAATCAACCAATTGCCATCAAGTCAGTTTTGACTAATAGTAACCCCATATGTATCAGAGTAGAACTGTGTACCACAGAATTTTCAATGGCTATTTTTTGGAAATAGATTGCCAGGCCTTTCTTCCAAGCTGCTTCTGGGTGGACTCAAATCTCCATGTGAACCATTTGTGCCACCCAGGGCCACCCTGATGATCAAAGGATCTTTCTAAAATGCAGACCTGAGAATGCAATTTTGAACTTTGGGGTGGATTTCTGCCTCCACTACCTTAGCTCTCATCACTCTCCTGTACCCATTCAACACCCTTCCTGGAGCCT